GCCGCCGGCCCGCAGCCCCCGCCCCGCCCGCCCCGCCGAGCGAGCGCAGACTGAAGGCACCGACTGCACTTGCTTCTCTCTTTTATTTGAAGCATGTTTTCTGGGCAGGGCCCACCTACCGACTCAGCGTGGCCCCTGGGCCTTGAAAGCTGGAGAATACAAAACAGTAAAAAAAATAAGCCTAGATTTTCCGAGTGCATAGTGCATGAGAACTAAAGGCCTTTGGTACACAGGGACTGTGGGGTGCAGGTGGGGTGGCGGAAGCTTGCCCAGGGGCCTCAGTGAACGGGGCACAGGCTGCTGTAGATGAAATGGCCCACAACGAAGGCCAGCATCTCCGAGGTGCCGCTCAGCGCCACGATGAAGGGGGCCTGGGAGGCGTAGTCAGCCTGCAGGCGGCGGAGGGAGAGCTGCAGCATGGCCAAGGCCAGCAGGCTGTTCTGCACCCCCACCTCGATGCTGACTGTCCGCCGCTGGGCCGTGGGCAGCTTCAGGCAGGCGGCCAGGCAGTAGCCCACCAGCAGGCCAACCGGGGGCACCGTGAGGCCCACCAGCACGATGGGCAGCCTGACGCCCACCAGGATGAAGACCCCCATGCGGTAGGCCAGGAAGAGGCCGCCCAGGAGCAGCACGAAGCTGAAGGGCTTGATGACCTGCAGCAGCAGCTGGGAGCACTTGGGGAGCTTGGACTTGATCACCACACCAGCCACTATGGGAATGGCGATGAACAGCAGGGTCCCCAGAATCTTGGTGACAGGCACGTGGAGGGTTTCGTGGACGCTGAGCAGGCGGCTATAGACAGCCGAGGACAGTGGCAGGAAGCCGGTGGCAGCCACTGTGGAGATGAATGTCATGGAGATGGCTAGGGTGACATCCCCTCCGAGGAGGAGGCTGAAGAGGTAGCTCCCCCCGCCGCCGGGCGACGAACAGGTGATGATGAGGCCCAGGGCCAGGGCCTTGGGCAGCATGAAGACCTTGGCCATCACGAAGGCGTACAAGGGCATGACCAGGAACTGGCCCAGGAGGCCCAGGAGCATGGGCTGGGGGCTCTGCAGGAGCCCCCTCAGAACCTCCAGTTCCACTTTGCACCCAAATGAACACTTGTTGACAAAGATGAGCGGCAGGAGCAGGTAGAGTATCGGGTTCTCCGACAGATGGACCAGCCCGGTGCTGAGGGTGGCAGGGGCTTCCTCAGTGGGCGAGACCTTGATGCAAAAGCCTCTCTGCTCCTCTATCAGCTTAGGCGGGGTCTCTCGGGGGTCTACCAGCTGGAGGTGGAGTGGGGCCAGTCCCGGCAGGCGAGAGCGGATGCTCACCACGAAGCCCCCACCCCTGCCCCAGGCCATGGCACTCACGTTCTGGATAGTCAGCACCTCTGTATCCAGGGAGAAGGCCCTCAGCACAGGACCAGGCCCTGTCCTGTTGCCCTGTGCCGGGTACTGGCTGGAGATCACAATGATGCCCTCGCTCTCCTCAGGGAATTCAAACTCCCTCACAGAGCCGTCCCCAATGCTCAGGTAGCGGCCCCCGGGCAGTGGCACAGTGTGGCCCAGAGCCATGCTGAGGTTGGCCCTGGCTGACCCCCGGCTCCCCCCCGGCAGGCTGAGGAGCAACAGTGCCACCTTCAGCAGGCTACAGCCGCCCAGGCCAGGCCACCGCGGGGAGGTGCCCCCGCCCCTGCCCCTCCTTAGCACCATCGCTCCTCCCACAGGCTGCTGTGCCTGGGTCCTCTGCGGCTTAGGAGGGCAGCCGCGCTGGGGCCTCCCGGTGGTCCTGGCGAGGGTCCATGGGCGGGGCCCGGCTTTGTGTGCTTCTCCTTGACAGCAGAGCTCCTCCTGGAGAGAGAGGGACACACAGAAGTGGCTGCAGAGCCCTGGAGCTGCTTAGCCCACTCGACTGTCCCTTCCCCAGCTCATACTGCCTCGTTCTCCCCACCCCTCACGCAGAGGCCGTGTCCAGACGGGAGCCTCCCTTCAGCCTGCCAGTCCCTGCCAATTCCCTGGCTAGCCCAGTGTGGCGGGAGGACGTGGCATTGCCCCGATCCTTGGAGGCGCAGCCGCAGGGGCAGAGCAATACCGCTCCTGGGGTTAACTCTCTGGTGTCCGAGGGCGAGGCCACCAGGAAGAGCCAAGGGCAGGGCACCTGAGTGTCACCTGCCAGGCAGAAAGTGGCCAGCCAAGTGGCACAGGCAGTGAGCAACCTCAGGGCTCGACCCTGCTGCTGAGGCTACCTGGCTTTCCCTAGCTGCCCAGAGTGACCAGACCGGAGGGCTCTTCGGGAGTGGGTTCTCTTGCCCCAGGCAAGCTGCCAAAAGGGGCAGCAGGGTGGGGTGAGAGCAGGCCACATGGCAGCTGGGGGGGGGCCTCTCAGCTCTGGTGGTCCCAGAATTTGGACTCGAGAACTGCTGTGTCACATCTGCTGGGAGTCCAGGGGCTCCTCCCCACGCCCACCTGGCCCCTTACCAGTCTGGAGCTGCCAGGGGACTGCGGTGTTTCTGGGTGAGAGGTCGCCTCAGGGTGAAAGGAGGACTGTCTCCTCCCACACCTCAGCTTGGTCAGGCACCACCCTGCTGTCAATTACCTGCCGAAACTGGGGCCACCCTGAGGCCACCCTGACGGTTGTGTACCTGTGGTTTTGTATCACAGTTGTGGGTCGCGATGGACCCAGTAGGGTCCCGATCCTGGAAGAGCCTAGCAGTCTGGGCCCAGCAGAGTCACCTGAGACTGGGGAGTGGAGAGGAGGGTGAAGGCCGGCCCAGCGAAAGGCTCACTCTGGGAAGGGGCTCCCCTCGGCACACCCTCACCTGCGCGGGGCCTCTGCTGCTTGGGTTTTGGGTCACTTACCCTGGTGGCCCAGGTCCAGCCAGTGTCCCACCGCTGAAGAGGGGGCAGGAAGACCAGAGGGAGTGTGAGAAGCAAAGTGGAGGGAGGCAGAGGGACGCTGAAGTGATCAGGGCCTGACGCGGCCAGGGTGTCGCTGAACCAGCGCAGAAGGGAGAGGCGGCAACGGACCCGCCATCCTGGCCCAGCAGCGGGTTGGAGGCCCTGCCGGGGCGGCCTGGCCCGGATCCCACATCAGTCTTGTGCTCGCGGGGTCGGAAGGGTCGGGGCAGGGGGGCCCTCGGGCGGGGACG